ATTGAGCCGAACATGAAACCTTTTATCTGCTTGCGTTCAACTCATTTTAGCTCTAAATAACGAAATTATATATATTATTTATATTATTTATATTATAATATATTATATATATTTATATCTAAGTTTAAATCATACTAACTCGTGCGGTTATGTGGTTATGTATCTTCTATTGCACAGAGTTGCTACAGGTTTGAATCCAACACACTACATCTATTTTTTCAATTAATTTTAACAAGCCAATTTCAAACACAAGTTGACTTCAAACAGGAGCAATTTCGAACAAGTCGAACACAAGTCAAGCCCGGGCTCACTTAAGCTCGGCTTGTTTACAGCCCTAGCTATGAGGAGGGGATTTGGTGGCCTTCCAACACAAGATTTTCAAGATGGCACCAAGGAGACGCCTGCAGAAATTGGAGGCCTAAACGGTAGTAGAAAAGTGTCTGCAGGTTCAGAAAATAACTTCATGTGAGTAAGATTAGCATGCACTTGACAAAGTTGTCTTCATGTATTGAAGAAATCAACATCGAGTTTCTCGCCGTTTAATAAGGTGTAACTCCGTTGTTCCTCGGGAGTAAGCTCCATGATTGTCGGCACCCAACACCCAATAAATGGTCGAGGGGTTGTGGGAATCATTCAAGCACTTTTGCAACAAACAAAACAGAACTTCTTCCTATAGAAAACCTTGTTATATAAATTCAGCATTATCAACTTCAAGGGAGAAAACAATCCTTGAACGTCTTAGGTCGCGGCGAATTGTAAAAAACGTTTAATGACCAGCATAATTTTGGTGTCTAAAATACAAAATAACCGAGGCTATCGAGTTTGGTTGAATTTGTGTAGAAAGTAATCTGAAGAAATTTAAGACAACTACTAGTTCTTCGCATATAGGAAACAAAGGCCAAGACGAAACTTGATCTTGGTAACAACACATCTCGTATGGGAGTACCATGCTCGGAGCCTCATCCTCGCAAGGTAGCCAAAAAATGTAGGAATCATAGAAGATACAATCTCTCTGTACTTTGGCGAGAGCTTTTCCTTAGTTATCAAATATCCTCAGACATGTACGAAGCAAGAAAAATTTTGCTACTGTTCTCCATAGCGGTGCCGACCATATCCCCATCCAGCCTAAATCTCCTAAGTTTGCTATGGTTGCAAAGAGAAAAATTGCAAGAAGATCAAGAATGCTAGGGCACAACTCAAATATGCTAAAGCAAAGAAGAAATTGAAAAAGAATGAAGAATTCAAGTCGTTTAAACCCTTATAAAAATGAGAGGGAAAAAATGAAAAATATGTTCCAAAATCTCCTAAGTTCTGTCCATACCTCAGCATCGAAGATTATACGGGCTATCTTTCAGAAAAAAAGAAGAAATTTCAAAAAAATTATGCATCAAATGTTGCAATGCAGGAAACTTAAACAAAAATACAATCACGGTTTTTCATAAAATAGACCAAAATCCTAATTCTTTATATCATTCAAACCAATCTTCCCAGACTATATAAGTATTTTCATGACCAATAGACCTCTTGCAATAAACTCTCCAAATTTGGGTCATTAAACTCACTAACAAAGAAGCATCAACTTTGATTTTATTTCTTCTAACTCTCTACGGTTCTCCTAGATCTTTGTATAATATTTTGCCAATTTATTCTCCGAAGAAAGATCATGATCATTAGCCTTCTGCAAGTCGTCTTCCAAGAACATGACGTGACTTAATACATTGAGCGACATGTATTCAAGATGCATCATCATATCTTTTATGATCAATAGCTCGTCTCGAACTTCTACAAATTCCTCTAGATCACGCACGAGGTTCTAATAGTCTTCTCCAAATCCTGGCAAGTTGAAACCAACTCTTCCCTCAACTGATTTATGTAATTTAGGAGATTAACATCAGAGAAAGCCAACAAGATGTTTCTAGCTCCTTACACCAATGACATATTCTCGGTGGTCGCTGGTTCCTCCTCTAAGAATAACCCTTCAAAGACAACGAATTATGTGTCCATGATTTTATCCCTATCCTCATTTAGTTCCACGATAACTCATCAACCTGAAAACATAGGACAACAATCAAGAAATATAAGGTGTTTACATAAACAGAGGAATACCCAATATTACCATCAAAAGTGAGTTCGACTAGATCCTTTTGAGTTTTCCCCACTGCCTTCATAGCTCGATCTTCTACTATTTCAACATCTTACATAACGGAGTTATTGAGAATAGTCGCAGACACCAATTGTTGATCAACAAATTTCTCTACAAAAGAATAAATAGAACATCAAAAGCATAAAACCACAAAAAAAACAAAATAGGTGAAAGAAACCAACGCAAAAGTTACAAGGACTCAACTCCGAGGAGCGTGATTATATTGGAACCCTACCAGTCATTTAGAGAATCAGAGACTCGTGATCCAACGCCAAATTTTAGAACTACAACAACTGGTTCACCGGAAATAGGATCCAAGACTGGAGGCATTGACATTCTTCTGGGGCCATTTTTTATTGATCAGCTACCAATACCACATTTTGGTCGCAGCACTCCCTGAGAGACTGTCTGACAGCCCTTTCGCTTCAACGAGCTTTGAACTTTGCATCGCCATTCTTTCCTTTCGAATCGTGTGAACACTTAGAACACCTCCCTCTCTTTAGTCTTTGATGAACAATCGCTTTCAACTGCTCTTCTGGGACAACCATTTCTTCTTTGAAATCTGTCCCATCGAAGCAGGATCGAAGTAACGATGAAATCTCGAGAATAAAGGGAAGAAACACAACAAGAACAAAGCCTTCGACTTGCAAAGCTATGCAAGGACTGACATGCATCTTAAATATCACATAGAGATTTCACACAAAAAATTCTTCTTATAATCACCCAAATTAATTATGTCCTTACTAATGTTATCCTTTTTTCTTATGAAAAGGTGATGGTGTATCGACGAATGCAACGAAGAGTCCCCAAACTACTTGTTATAAATGATTTAATAGTTATTCTTTAGCAATCCAAAAATAAAAAATAAAACCAATATTAGTACACCCTCCATAACAGGGAAGTTTCGTACTTTTCACATTCTACTCCACCACTCTTAGGAGTACATATCTCGTGATGATTGAAATATGTTATGTCTCTTACAGCAGCATGTGCATTCCTCCTTGGTAACTTGGTAAGGAAAAATTCTTATGAAACACCTATTAGTCATATTCACAAAATAAGTTACCTCTATCGCCTGGAAAGCAAAGACACTTGAATGAGGAACGGTCCATATTTACTAGAGAGTACTCACGACTACTCCCTATAGGCATAGCTTCCGAGACCCATAGGAGAGAAAGTCCGAGCTCAATGGTAAACTGTCAGGACTACTCTTCAAGGTAGAGCCCGAAAGCTTATTAGTGGTGGAAAGTATCATTTTGATTGAATACGAGTAGATATGGCTTTGGAAAAATCTGATAGGGCAGAATACCAAATTCGATCATCTCATCCCTCTAAGTTCTCTTATGTTTTCATTCTCTCACTCTTCTCATAATATCCTAACAAAAAGCTAGAAGAATCGATAAACTAAATGTATATTCAAAAATAAGTTCCTTTAAGCAATAGGAAAGCCTAAATACTAAATGGGTCTCATGAGCTTAATGGAACAAGCCCAGCAATCATGCATTCAATGGTTTGGCACTAACCAGATCAATCATACCCATTAAACATACCTTTGCAAGTGACACGATATAGAGTTCATTGCTACCCAGAAGGATCATGTGAGTACCTCCGAAGTATGTCAGCATTTTTGCTAGTTCCTAAGAACGAGTTTTCTAGCTTTAATCTTCAAGTGATTTTTTACAGTCGAGTTAGCTCATATTACCCTAGTTCTTATTCCTAAGTCACATGAGCTAGTTGGACCTTCCCACCAAACTCATCAACAACTACCTGACTACACTACCGAGCTCGACGGGCAATTCTTTGAGACAGAAAAAAAAGAATTTTAGTCTATCAGCATATATATTATCATTTATTAACAGCATGACAATCCATACTAGCAGTCTTATCGACAAGTCTGCTTTGCTCAAGCTCTGTCCTATATAGCCTATAACCTAGTTTTATGATTTATTCTTTAAACTCTTGCGCAGGTACATAGGCTTCATAACATATAAATAAAATAAAAAAGAGAAAATGGGAGATATGCCTATCAATTCTAAACCCTGAAAAATACTCTTTGATTATCTCTCTCTCTGAAAATCCCTCTACTTCTTCTCACTACTTCCTTAAGGTCTCTTCAGGATTGTATGAGTTCATAAATTATACAGGATTTCAACATATCTAATCCAATCAAACAACTTTATCAGAAAAACTATGAATAATCAAAATAAAGACCTAACGTACCCTATTCCAAACCTAATAGCTCAATAAATTTTGGGCATCTAGACACACACCGCACAATTCTTATGTAATCACATATCTAACATCTAACTTTACATTTTACATTTATCCCATCCAAATCTTCCACATCATATCCAAAAACCAATCCCTCTACTTCTTCTCACTACTTCCTTAAGGTCTTTTCAGGATTGTATGAGTTCATAAATTATATAGGATCTTTTCAAAATATCTAATCCAATCAAACAACTTTATCAGAAAAACTATGAATAATCAAAATAAAGACCTAACGTACCCTATTCCAAACCTAATAGCTCAATAAATTTTGGGCATCTAGACACACACCGCCCAATTCTTATGTAATCACATATCTAACATCTAACTTTACATTTTACATTTATCCCATCCAAATCTTCCACATCATATCCAAAAACCAATTTTAACTTTCAAAAAGTGAAAAAATACACCTTTCATGCATAGAGCCAATTTTAACTTTCAAAAAGTGAAAAAATACACCTTTTCATGCATAGAAAAGGTGGCATGTTTGAGAAAATTGAGGCTTAGGTGTTAGACATGCAAATACATAAGAATTGAATGATATGTATATAAATTTTCCAAAAAAATTATAAGTAAATTCACTTACAGCTGCGCAAACTTGGTCCCCTGTTCCACCTGCAAATCATAAACCGAAACATGCTGCGGCCCAGCAGACACAGCAAGACGCAAACTTTCCTCCCACATCTCTTCAGTCTGCCTCGGGAGCGACGATATAAGATCCAAACTCCAGCTCCTAAGCCCACAACAACCGCCAACCAATTCAATCGCCTCATCCACCTCTCTCCGCCCATGCGCCCTCCCGCATTCCCGCAGCAACTCCTCCTGAAAAGCCTGCACACCAAGCGAGACTCTCGTCACCCCTACCACCCCCACCATCTCCTCCAACCTTGCCTCATCAAACGTTCCCGGATCCATCTCAATGGACACCTCGACGTCAGCCGCGAACTCGCCAAATTTCGTGCGGATTGCATCGAGCACGGAAGCGATTAGCCGAGGAGAGACGAGGGACGGCGTGCCGCCGCCAAAAAAGATGGTTTTGATTGGTGGATGATGGGAGGAATAGGGTTTGGTGGCGCGAATCTCGCGAAGGAGGAGGCGGATGTAGGAGGAGATGCGGGGATCGTCGTCCAAGTTGCGGGAGGAGGTACCGAGGGCGATGATGGGGAAGTCGCAGTAGTGGCAGCGCCGGCGGCAGAAAGGAAGGTGGAGATAGATGGAGGAGGGAGGCGGTTGGGGAGCGATGGTGTGGGGGGAACTGGTTGAGGAATTTCGACAAAGAACTGGTGGGCGTGGGTTGGAGGAAGGCTCCAGCGGAAGCAGGGAAATGAGATGTGGTTTGGATTTGAAAGGGAGTGAAAAGGGAGTAGAGAGGAATTGGAGAGCCGTTGCGCGAGGCATCTGTAGTCTGCAGTAGAAGTTGTAGTTAGTCAAATTTATATTAGATGATTTAAAAAAAAAAAATCAATTGATTTGTACATTACACTTATTGAAAATAAATTTAATTCCTTATTTATGAATTCATTTATAAATATGGGCTCTATCTATGATAAAAATACAGAGTCATCTACTTTCTCTCTATTTGTACTTTTAATTATATCACATTGTGATTGATTCCCTATAATGAGTTATATAGGATATCTTGAAGCTAGAACACATGCACTTCTTAGAAAAATAAGAGCAAAACTAGCCTTTTTTCTTTTTTTAGAGGAGACAAACTTAATATATAAAAAATGAAATTGGTTTATTCGCCTACGTGTTTTATCTTCTTGTGTTGAGACCGTTCATGCTTTTTCTTCTCGTGGTGAGTCGGTCGAGGCAAATTGGAGGAATGGCGGGACAAACAAAAATAATAGGGGGGCAAACCAAACTAATAAAAGAGATATAATTAAAAATGCATAATAAAATATATATTTTTTTCGGGGGCAGGTCCACCCATGTAGATAAGTGTAGTTGGATCTTCTTTTGAGACTTCTAACTAATGTAAAGTTAATTTTTTTTATATTTTTTTTTAATCTCCTCATCATTCTAATCTTTCATTCTAGAAAGTACATGTTGTTTCTTATTAAAAGTCACATGTATTAAGCCTTTTATAATCAAGCACTTTTTGTTAAAAGTTCTATAGATCTTATTCCAATTTGAGTCATCAAGAAATATACATTAATTATCAAGCTTTGTTAGGCACTTTTTCATATTTCTTTTCTCTTTAAGATTTCATATGTTATTTTCTTAATGATTGGTCTAATGTTTATTTTATTTATTACATAAGTTGCTATATTTATTGCTTCAATTACAATTTTTTTTTACATTTAAAATTCACTAATCATTTTTTTTTAGCTATAACAAATAGTATTTTATTTTCTTTTGACAACCTCATTCTATTGTAGTGTCCTAGGCATGGAAAAATTATATTTAATTCTAACTTCATTAGAAAGATATAAAATTTATTTTAAAATTTCCTCCATTATCACTCTTAATAGTCATAATGGATAGTCTTCAATCCTTTAAAATTCACTTTACAAGTTTTGTCAATTTAGTGATTGCATCATTTTTGCTAGCTATGAATATTTCTCAATTAAATCGAGAGTAATCATCAACTATGATATACCCATATTTATTTGCTCATAAAATAATGGGATCTATAAGTCTAAATAAGTTCATATTGAACAATTCTTTGGCTTAGAAGTAGTCACCTAGTACATAGGTCTAAAAGATGTGTATAACTTTTTTAGTTAATTGATATTAGCACATAGAAGTCCTTAAATAATTTAGATTGAGTAACCTATTGATTACTCACGTTTAGATATATAATTTAGATGAAGTATGCATGTTTGCATGAGAAATTTATCTAAGTCATAGCTATGGATTATCATAATTGGCATTTAAACAATTTAGGATATTAGCAACTAATCAATTAATTCACACAAATTTATATTTTTGTATTTATGATCATTAAGGTAAACTTCATTATTTTATTTTATTTAATAATAAACTAAAAAATAAATAAATAGCATATGTATTATAACACAATTGACTAATTCTTATTAGATCATGCTTCAACCGCTTAACTATTAAGACCTTTAGATGGTGTGGGAGAAAAAATTTATAGTGCTAACTCCAATGATAGTTGCCTTATTAATGTATCTTATTAAAATCTTTTCACCATCCTTTGGTTACAACAAAGTGAAAAATATGTGATTTCTCGTCATATGCTTCAAGCATTCGCCACCCAAGTGACATTTACCTTCATTGGACTTCAATCTATTTGTTTGTTGCTTTGAGCTCATCGGTTTGGTTGTGAAATTGGTTTGAAGAATGTAAATTGCTCATTGAATCGAAATTTAGCTTAGAACGAAATTGGCTCCAATTTTGAGGTACGAGTCAAATAAAAAAAAAATCAAATTTATTCGATTCGGACTCAAATTAGAATGGGATCGAATTAAAGTAAAAAACTAATCCACAATATAAGGATTGGACGGTGGATCGCATTTCATGAAAATCATATATAATAAATATATTCGTTGGTTAACTTCCTCAGCGTCGCTCGAAGCTCAACTTTCTCTCGTTTCCTCTCTAGCTCTCTCTTCGAAAAATTTATTAGATCAGGACTCTGCATGCATAGCTATATGCGGAGTTCAATCTTGAGCTGAGCTGACACGTGGAAGGTCGGTCTACCGACATAAGAAATAAAAAAGTAATGAAAACGAGCGAACTGACTCGACCGATGTGATATAGAAATATTTCATCGCATAAAAATATTCTCCCGCGTTATTCTGAATATTTTTCGTGTTATTCATGTATTATTGATGTGTTATTGATGGTATAGGAAACTTCTTCCACTCAATAACACATAATAACACACATAATAGCATAATTTTACACTCCCTAGCCCGTAGTATAACACGTGGGGAATATTTCATGCGTGTTATACCACGGGCTAGGGGAGTGTTATAGGGCAGTTTTATAATACGTGGAGCGGCGTTATAACCTGTGATATAACACGCAGAGAATATTCCCCACGTCTTACACTATGGGTTAGGGATTGCATAATTGTTTTATTATGTGTTATTAGTGTGTTATTATGTGTTATTAGTCTGTATTAGTTTGTTGTTAGTGTGTTATAGAACAAAAACAATTTATTTAGATGTCATAATTTATATTTATTAATAATTTATAGTTATTTAATGTGTTATTAAGGGTTTAAGAATATTCTCTTGCATTATTCTGAATATTTTATGCGTTATTCATGTGTTATTTGATGTGTTATTCATGTGTTATTCATGTGTTATTCAGAATAACACGAAGGAATATTCCTAAATTGTTTTTGCTTAGGCTCTGTAACGCATCGGTCGGGCTGGGTCGCGTTTTTATTTTTTTTCATTTTTTATGTAGGTGAGCCGACCTTCCACGTGTCAATACGAGATTGGACTCCGCAAGCAGCTTTACATGCAGAGTCTTGATGTAATAATTTTCCCTCTCTTTGCTTCTTTTTTTCTCGCAAGTCGCGTCTCTCCCTAATGGCTAATATTGCAACTTTGGTTTCTCCTCTCTCTCTCACTCTCAACAACTATGCTGACTGCCCCTTTCCTCTGGTAAGTCACATCTCCTTGTCTATCGTTAATTTGGGTTGTGGTTTCGAGCATTTGACTTGTCGACAGTCGTTTAGGGGTTTTTGTGGTTTTTTTTTTTTTTTTTTTTTTTTTTTTGTGGTTGGCGATTTCTGGCTTGGTAACTATTTGTCCTCATAATGATTCACAGAATCACTGTAAACAAAAGTTTTTTGTTTGAAAGGAGTTTAGGGTTTCTATTCTCAATGTAGTTTTTTTTTGTGAAAAAGTGGTCAACTCTTTCTGTGACAAAGTGATCAATAGTTTGGAAGCGACCCTGTGGTTTTCTATCAACATTGTGTTATTGTGTAGTTCTAAGTCAGCCAGCACAATTTTAGGGGGGGCCTATGGAAGGTGTCGGTCGCCGGAATGGAAATCATGTCGACCGCTTCGGAGGGACATTTAATTTATATATGTTTAGAAAAATATGAAATCAAATCGATCCCATATTTTTTATAATTTAAATGAAAGAGCACCACACCTTAAGCTATGTGTCCCTCTTAAAAGATGGACACATGACTTAATGGTGAGACTCGATCAAACAAACTAATAAATATATGACATATGTTTGGCCTGCGAAACTATTTTATTATAAGCCGACAAATTCCCCTATTTAATATGAAAAATTAACTAGGTTTTATATTAAGCTAGGTTTGGAAAAGCTTCCTATAAGGGCAAGTTCCTATAGTTACTTGCATCTTAGATAACCGAAGTCACCTAAGAAAACTCTCGATAAAAATCATAGGATATTGTCTTCAAGAATTTTAAGGGGATAAGACTTTTCAAAGAGATCGGACAGAGATGTGTGAAAGGGAATGACTCAAATTTGGAACATTATATTTTTTAATCCAAAGGAAGAAAAACTAGGGGATGTCATAGATCCTAAGAAGAACCCCGATGACTTCCCAAACTATCCTACTATTCGGCTTCAGTTTTGAGAGAATAGAACTGCTGAATGTTTCATCTTGCCAATTTTATTAGTTAGGGCTTACATTCATGTGAAACGATCACACAAATAACCTGGAAGATGTGAGAATTTAGGTTATAATGAACGACAACCTCAGAATCCTAAGACAAGTTAGGGACTATATTGTATAACAGAACCATACAAAGGCCTAAAGATAAGTTGAGGATTTATGTTGCATAAGCAAACAACTTCAAAGTTCTATGGATTGTTGTTTAATTCTAAGGAATGGTTTAGCTAATGTAGACATGTTTCGCTGTTGAGGATGACTGCGTTGCCCACAATGTTAGCTCCAAGCTCCTCGTCGTAGCAAGTTTAAGTTTTCTAATGTTTCAAGTTATGATGTCAAATCAAGTGTTTCCTAAGGTTATGATTATTTTAAATGTTATGGGGATGTTAAGGTTGATAAGAGTGACATCGGTTAGGATCCTACAGTTTCCTCGTTCCGGCACCACTATTTTCTTTCAGATTCACTTAGTCCAAATGAATTTATAAGCTCAACTTAATGAGTTTCATACTTTCATTTAGTCCGCAGAAAGTCTCGTTAGCAACCGTAGGTTACCTTCTCCGAGAGGTTCCCGATTATCCGATAGAGACATCTTAATTTAGTTGTAATTTTTGTTTTGTGATGTTTGTGATTAAATTTTGAGTTGTCTTATATTTTGAATGTTGTAGCAGTGAATTTTATCTTGTTTAATTTTTAAATTTTGGTTTTGGTTGTGCGGCTATCCTAACAGTTTTGGTTTTGACATGCAGGCTGACATCATTGTTTAACATGCAAGTTCATCATATTGTTTCATTTAGAAGTGTTCGGGGAATGACACTGAACT